TAGTGAGCCTTGTAGCACTCCCACACCCAACTGCCTGCCCCAGACCCTAGCAGTGTGGCCAGCACGTAAACCATACTTAAAACAAACTAAACAGACAAACCTAAAAGGGCATGGTATGAAATCGGTCGAATTCCTACTGACAACTTTTAATTCATTAGTGTTAACCAGTTAAATGCTTTATTTTAGAAAATAAATGTTCACAGAGTTTTTGAGCAGAAATGCATTGACACAGGGGCGCCTGGGTGGCTCAGTGGGTTAAGCCTCTGCCTTCGGCTCCGGTCATGATCCCATCGGGCTCTCTGCTCAGCGGGGAACCTGTTTCCGCCTCTCTCCCTCTCTCTCTCTCTCTCTTTCTCTCTCTCTCTCTTGCTGCCTGCCTCTCTGCCTACTTGTGATCTCTGTGTGTCAAATTAATAAATTAAAAAAAAATGCATTGACACAAACAACTTACAAATTACACATTGTGATTTCTGTACTTTGGTAACTTTTCAAAATGGGAAAGGATGGGAGTGAGATGGCAGAGGGAAGAATGAGTGTGCTAACTGAAATCCCTGCATTAAGATCACAGTCTCTGCCTCTGTGCCTGTGAAGGTCTCTAAGGGAACTAGTTACAGTTTTGGAATAGTTGCTGTGTTTCTAGCCCAAAGTTCCTACTGGCATTATATGCCAGTTATATATGCCATATAATATAATGGCATTATATGCCATTATATTAAAATATAATGGAACAGCAGTGTCCCATTCTCTTTGTTCTTGCTAGCACAAGGTGTTTGAATTAGAAAACCAAAGTGGCCAGCCTTTGCTTGAAAACAGTTTTAGAGTTCTGCATTTTAAAACCAGTTTGATCTTCCATTTGTTGCATTCTCCCTCATTGTGAAAAAAGAAATGGTATAGTATATTTACTACACACACTTCCTGGAACCTACCTCGTACTTTGCCTTGTCTCTCATTCTCCCCCAAGCTATTTAGTTAGGCATTGGGTCTGGTATAGGCATCAGGGAGTCAGAGAGCAGTGACCCCAGACACTATCCACAGGGTGTTCATTGCAGTGTCTGTCCAGAGGGGCAGCTAGTGTATTTTCAGACTCGAGGCCCTGCAAAAGGACCCAGTGCAGAAAATCCCTTGTAATTATTTCCAGGTGGTGGGAGGGCAGTCAGTAAGGTCTTAAAACCAAAAACAAGGTAGGTCTTCTAAATGCTATAATAAAAATCAACTTGAGAAGCGTAATTTCAGCAAAGCATGCTTTATACATTATGCTAACAATTCTTGTCTATCAAGCCAAGGGTTATGTAAGTACGGTATGTACATTTGGTCATGAATCCTTATAATTGTCCTGTACTTGGTGAGTTCTTGGCCAAAAACACACAGCCAGTGAGGGTGGTTAGATCCAGGATCCTGGCCCAGTCTATCTACAACCGGAGGCCATGCTCTTAACTACCATCCTGTACTGAATAGGTCAGCTTTACAACTTCCCTGTTCAAAGGAAACCACGAGTTAGCCAAGTAAAGAAAACATTTACAAAGTCATAACAGGGTATGTGTCATGCTGTAGCAGCCTGTGCTATCTCCCATAAACCACGATTCCTGCTGGTGGAGAAATGCGTTGGCTTTCCTGGGGCAGGAAGGCACTCGAGTGCATGGGGGAGTGTGGAAGTCTGCAGCACTAAGAAAACTCTTTGTCTTTCCCACTGAAGAAATGTATGGTCTGAAGCTAATTTATCACCCCTGATTGATTTATCTCCTCAGTTTCATTGTCTACAGAATCGGCATAATTATTTCTGCCTTTGGAGAGAGATTCATTTATTCAGTAACTTGTTGTCCGGGATGACTTGAGACATGGCAGATGCCAAGATGAATGAGGCAGGCAGAGCAGTTCGTGAGGTACATGCCCAAGGATAGACGTAAACATTAGTGGAACAGAATAGAGTTTAGAAGTGGACTCACTGTTTTTGAGAAGAAGACAAGATAATCCATTGAAAAAATGATAGTCTTTTTTAGGAATGGTGCCGAACCAACCAGATATCCATATGGGGGAAAACTGAACCTCAGTCCTTACCTCATGCCATACAGATACACACAGCAAATACTGGAATGGATCAGTGTAAACATGAGGCACAAGGGAACTTCTGGAGATGGTGGAAACATTCCATATTTTGCTTATTGTGGTAGTTACATAGTTATATACATTTGTCAATACCCACTGCAATGTTTACCTAAAATGGGCACATTTCATTGTTTGTCAATTATACCATAGTAAAGTTGATTTTAAAAAAGGAATCATATCCTGTCACTCCTTTGCTTAAAATTTTCCAGTGAATGTTAGGTAAATCCAAACTCCTTACTGTGTCCTACAAAGTCCTAGGTGATCTGGACCTTCCTACTCCTCTGACCATCCTATAGTGCTCCATTTGCTTTTGTTCTTCCTCGAATGCTCTTCTCCCAGATCTAGGTGTGGCTGATTCCTGAAGCAGCTGTAGCCCAAGGGCTACCTCCTCAGGGAAGTTCTCCCTGATTGCCTAACTTAGCATTTGAGTACCTCGTGGTGTGTTTTCAGAACCATGCATCATTAGCTGAAATTCTTATTTACCTGATATTTATTTATTGTCCGTTTTTCCCCATGAGAATATAATATCCACAGAATAGGAGAGATATGTCTTATCTACTCTTCTGTCTCCAAGGACCTATAATAATGTCTGCCTAAAAAGTTCATGTGCAGTAACTATTTAAAAAAATAATATAATACAGTAATAAAAAGGGTAAGACATTCAGATTCTATAACGTAGACAATGCAGAAATACTGAAGGTTGCTAAGTAAAGAAATGGCACCATAGAATTTGTGTCGCAGAATGGTTATAGGGATCGGATTGGGAACTGGGGTAAGACCAAAGGCAGGCAGATTATCTAGAAGGCAGCCACACCATTTCTGGTAAGGAGAAGAGAGGGAGGCTGACTTGAGGCTCACACAGAGGACACAAGGGATGGAACAAGCCAAGCAACATTTAAGAGATGGAATCAGCAACCTGTAGCTACATTCTGAGAGACCCAGGGTCACAGTGGAATTGAGGATTCTGTCCGTGCATACCTGAGCTAATGATGTGCCCTGAACTGATAGAAGGGATGTGGGAAATGTAGCATAGTTAGCAGATGAGTTTGGCTTGGGAGTGTTAATTTTGAGTTACCTGCAAAACATCCTCCTAAAGCTGCTCCGTGCACAGTTGGTAACATCTGGCAGAAATTCAGGGAGGAGTCAGGACTGAGGACAGGGATTTGAGACTTACTAAATAAAGGTATGAAAATGGAACTTGGGTAATAGCTGAGGGTAAAAAGAGAAGAGGACCAATGATGAAACTCTGGGGGTTAACTGCCTCGTAAGGACTGGAAAGAAGAAGAGGAACCAGTAAAGAATAATGAGAGCGGTTAAGAGGAGTGGAGTGTGGAAGCCAGGGAAGGAACTTTGTTCACAAGAGTGGCAATTGCCACAGAGATCTGGCAAGAGAAAGACTGAAAACTTGGCAACGTGCAGTGACTGGTGACTTGAGCAAGAAGTACAAAGCAGGCAAAATGCGGAATGTAGTTCTTTGAGGAGTGAGTGGTGGGGGTGGGGTGGTAGTTAGGATAAGATGCAGAGGATTCTTTCCAAAAGGTGGCACAGTAGGAATTCGTGCTTGCACAACCTAGTAGCAGAAAGCGGTCTTTTGAGAAAGGTAAGGATACCACTGGGCTAGGGTGCTTGATTCAAAAGCTTAAGGAGTCTATGGGCATCTTGGGAAAAGGATACCGAATGGACTCAGCACTGATACAGAGATTACCAGATATCACTGAGGGCCTGGCGGGGGTTGAGGTGGTTCTTTTAGTTTGGTAGTAATGAGGTGGTGGTGTGATTCTTTCCAGGAGGTGCTCCAGCCTCCTGGGTACAGGCGCCGGGATGACAAGTGATGAGCTTGATCACAGTTGTATCCTGGCACAGTAGTTGTGGCAGAAGGATGGGGTGAGGATATTGGGGACTGTGGTCCATGTGATTGGGTCTAGACTGAGACAGAAGTGGAGCATGCAGGTCGGGATGGGTAGTGGAGATAGAGACTGAGGAAAATGGAAGGGCTAGCAAGTTCAGTGAGGGGAGTAAGAGATCTGGAAGAATGGGCGGGTGCAGCTAAAGATGGTAGAACTTCAGAACTACTTGGCACTTTGGAACTTAGAGTGTGGAGAGATGAAAGGTCCAGGGTGTGGCTACATGATTCGTGGATGAAATGGAAGATAGAGATGTAGGTGAAGGTTAGACCTTTGGACATAAGAAGTGTAGCCACCACAATGTCACCCCACTTCTACTGATTTTCCCCTGCCTCCGGGAGATAGATGAAGACTGAAACCAGGGAATTCAGTGAGTGATCACGGGTTGGTGATGGCAGTTAACATGGAACAGAGGGAGCTAGATGGTATGCAGCTCAAAGGAGGATGAGCAGTTGCCTGAAAGGGGAGAAGGCATATGTAGAAGCCGTAATGGGGAGTGAGGAAAATGCCAGACTGATTCCAGTAGTGCCCTTGCAAATGCTGGCAGCACCCAAGCCGGGACCACTGAAATCAGCTAGAAGGAAAGAGAAGAGGGGAAGAAGGACCCCAGGTGAACAGTCAGGTCATCCACAGTAGCAACAGGTGACAGGGCAGAAGGAGACCTTAGCATGCTAAATGAAGGAAGCCTGAATTGGTTTTGGAACTCTCCGAAGTCATGTGATATAAATTTAACATACAAAGCATATATTTGTTCCTACTAAGAGCCATATGTTTCAATAGCAAACATAACAAAATCATACTGTTACGATTTCTGTGGAAAAAAATACCTTAACATTTGGAACATCTTCTAGTTTGTGTGTTTAAAAATTATAGAAATGTGTATTTTACCTGGGTTTCTAACATTTTATAAATAAAGTTGTTAAAGTTTGAATGCTAGTATTTATGTGTGTGGGGTTTTTTTGTTTTTTTTTTTGTTTGTTTGTTTTTAAACAGGTTCTTAATCAGGAACCAACTCTATGGATCCAGGACAGGTTTGTCCCACGGCCTGCTCTGAACAGCGTGTTGTCCTATAGAAGATTCCCATTGGCAAAACATCTCTGATGCCTTATAGAGCAAGCAAAGAAGATGGATCGATTGAAGAACCATCTGCCTGTGTGCTTTCTACCTACAGTGCCCTTTTTAATCCTAGTATCCACTCTAGCGACTGCTAAGAGTGTGACTAATAGCACTTTAAATGGCACTGACGTGGTCTCGGGCTCTGTGCCTGTAATCATTGCCAGAACTGACCATATCATAGTCAAGGAAGGGAACAGTGCCTTGATTAATTGTAGTGTTTATGGCATCCCTGATCCACAATTCAAGTGGTATAATTCCGTTGGCAAGCTGCTACAAGACGACGAGGAGAAGGAGCGAGGAGGAGGTAGGCTTTCAAGTTGTGTCAAATGTCATAAAATATAAACAGACTCTGGAAGCCACACTGAGAATGTTAGTTGCTCTTATTCAAGTCATTTAAAGATCTCATTCTGTCTTCTTTGCTAAGGCAAGAGAGAGAAATATATATCCTTAAGGATTCAAAGCAGTAATTAATTCATAGTCTTCACTCTGCCACTCAGAAGACAAAGGGCAAACATAAAAGTCTCTTAAAAGGCTTCTTGGAATTTTGTAGTATAATGCATACAGAATGTTATAGGGACGAATGTAAAGTGGATTTCCCATTAGTATACGTTCCATTTATAAGGGAGTTTTATTTCATTTCATGGGGCTGGCTCTAGTATTCAGTATAGCAGTTTATGGTTAAGCGTCAGTTTAATTCATTGACTGTGGATTTAAGGACCACACTTCTTAAAAGAAGTCTCTGTGCAAAGTTGTCAGCCGCTGACTAGAGATGGCTCTGTGCTCCCAAAGACCTGGCTGAAGTTTCTAGATTGTCTCTTGCAGCTGAGGCCAAGACAGAGGGAGGATTCAAGAGCAAGAAATAACATGTGGCAATAGGGGAGTGTTTGGTTTTTAATGAGTGCCTTTCTGGCCAAAAAATGTGAATCACCTACCTAAGCACCAAGCTTGCTTCAGGAAAGTCTCCAGCTAGAGAGAGGATTGGTTGGGTCATTGTGAATTTGTACATTTCTTTTTTTTTTTTTTTTTTAAGATTTTATTTATTTATTTGACAGAGATCACAAGGAGGCAGAGAGGCAGGCAGAGAGAGAGAGAGGGAAGCAGGCTCCCCGCTGAGCAGAGAGCCCGATGTGGGGCTCGATCCCAGGACCCTGGGATCATGACCTGAGCCAAAGGCAGAGGCTTTAACCCACTGAGCCATCCAGGCGCCCCTGAATTTGTACATTTCTTGATTGAGATGGGAGAGGTACTTGTCTGAAAACCCAATCCTGCTTTAATTGATCTGAAGGAATTAATGTGCTTTCTGAAGCATTTACTGTGTGAAGTAGGGGGCTGAGGGTGGGGGATTAAAACGACCCTTGTTCCTGAAGTAGCAGCTTACTAGTTTCTGTCACCTTTCATTCATATTGTACTTCCCATTCCACACCCTTTGACCAATGAGTAATCCCCATAGAGTTTCTGCTGCAAGAAAACCTACACTCTTAATCTCTTTCCCTCATTTCATCTTCTGTACTCTGAAAAATTGTAGAGGCTAATGTCTTATGTCTTCTTGGGAGCTGAGTGAATGGAGTTTTCTTACAACTACATGTGGTTGAGGCCACTAGCAGTCCAGCTCCCTGGGACGTGGGGTTTCCTTATAGTGCTCTCATTACATTGCTTTTGGTTAGCCATCCAAGGATGTGTAGTATGACAAAGCTTCTTCTCTTAATGTTATATATCACATGTGTATCTATTGGTTTAACCTAGGAGAGCAGAACTCTTTGCCCACCAAGTAAAATTATGGGTTAAAAATTTGGATTATACTTGGAGACAGTGTAATCCAAATCCCTCTTTTATCTACATTTCCCAAGGTCCTACTGTTATTAAGTGACTGTGACTAGAACCTTCACTACTGGTGATGAGAAGATGAGACACCACCACCCCTTAGCCCACAGGTGGTTTCCATTCATCCCGTTCCTTCCTCCCAGACTCCCAAGTCAAAAGGAAGTGATACCACACTTATGAGGGGGCAGTAACCGTGGTAACATACACACTCTCCAGTCCCTGTACTTCATCAGATCTCTCCGCAAGCTGGGCCACTGTGAGGAATAACAAGGTAACTGAAGTGAGGGGAACAAGGACTCCAGACCTGCATCTACCTTTCACACGGACGTGGAAGCACAGGTTATGCCGGGTACCCAGGAGCTGGGGCTGGGGCCCTGAACCCCTGAGTCCTAGAGGGGAAGACAACTGTGGGAACCTTAGAGCGCTGGGCCTGAATTTCAGGCTCAATATTTGAGGGCATTCCTGAAGTAGTACCTTTCTCCTTCAAAGAGATCCCCCGTTGCCTCCATTGAAAAGGTCCTTATAGCTATTGACTCAGTCCGGCAAGCACACGTTGCACCGTGCCTTCTCTACCTGTGTCGTGGGAAGCTGGCCTAGAGGGAAGCCCCACATGGCTTAATTGCCCTTTGTTCTGTGGGTGCTCAGGCGACCCTATGGTAACAGCCTGTCCCAGACCCCGGAAGCAGGGGTAGCCACCAAAAGCCTTTGGCGCAGACACCTGCTCCATCAGAAGCCGGTGCTCGCGTCACAGTGCAATCGGCAGTATTGCTGATAAGCCAGTTATAGCTGTTTTTGAATCTCGTAAGGAAGATGCACTGCTGATTTTTAAAAAAGAACTCATTATACTAGTACTTGATGTTCCAACTCAGCTTTTGTGTTACGACGCATAGTGATAGTAACCTCAGGACATCAGTAACACAGGGTAATACACAAATCACTACACCTAACCAAGCCAGATATAAGAAAGCAGAAATGAGTCCTCATCATGAAGTATTCGAATTTTAGTGCTCAAATGGCCTATTAGAGGACCCATAAGTCTTTAACTCTTCATTTCTGATGGGGAAAATGCCCATATTATGACTATGGACAAAAATTTCAGTTTTCAGGCTTAGTCTTTAAGTTTAAATAGAGCAGTGTTTCCCTTATAACTCAACAAAGAGGTAATTGAACATAGTATGAAAAATTATGCTAATATCCCAGAACATTACCTAGATACAATGGACTACTGTTAAACCAAACTAACAAAATTAATGTAGTTTTCATTAATAATCCCTACCATTGAATAAGCCCCCGTACCAAGTTTCAGATACTATTTCTAATCCTTACAACACATGTGATGGGTAGATGTTATTAATCTTCATGCATACAGATGAGGAACCAGGTAAACAGGATATTACACAACCAGCGTATGGCCAAGCTAGTGTGTATTGTCCTCTGCCCAGCCAGCATCTGCTCACCCTTTAGGTCTTGGTAGGCGAAAACCATTGAAGAGCATCGAACCCAGATGGGGTGAGTGCGAGAAGTCTTCCTGGATGGAAAATGCACGGTGATCACCCCCATCACAGTCACAGATGTGTTAGGATGCATGCTACCTCGTGTACACACGACCTCTGCATGCACACACACGTCGTCAGAATCCAGGAACACACCACCATTAGCATGGAAAGGAGGAATGTCATTTCTTGGTTATGCTGAAAAAGTGAGATCGCTATTATTCATGCCAGCACTGCCAGTCCTAGAAAGAATGGGGCTCTTTCCTGTAGGAGCAGCAGCTGCTTTGCCTTGCTTCCCTGGTGCTTGTGACTTAAAGTCTGCAGGATCAGGAGAGGCTAACGTGTAATCTATTTCTGGAGGAGGACTTTTTTTTTTTCTTCCTTTGGTAGTTCACCGAAGGACATGTTGGGGGTGGTCCACCAACCACATTACAGAAATAACTCAGAATTCGAGTAACATGCGTAACCACAAATGGCCACAAACTGCACTGTTTTCAAATTTCCTTCTGCTAGAGGTGAGTAGAAATAGTTGTCAGAAAGTATTATGAGAAAAGACCTAGTTATTTCAGGTACGAATTAGCCAGTGTATTTTTGCCGTGCTTTCTTGCTCTGATTTTAAGCCATGTAAATGCACATTAGCATCTTTATCAGATGATAAATAACAAGCATTTCAATAAAGTCAGCTGGCATGGGCCTTGGTAAACATGTCTGGCTTGTTAGTGATTACGTTGGAAATTCTTCCTTCAAGTTAGGTTTGAGACTTTCCTTGGGTTTCTCTCCATAGCCTTGCTGCATTCTTTCACCAAAAATAATGAAGAACGATAGAACAATCTTTGAAAGTAAACATGCACAGAGTAAACTGAGCTGAACTGCTTAGAGTTCACGGTTGTCACAACTGGAATTCATGGTTATAAGTTTTGCATTTCTTGTCACGCCATTGTTTTTTATCTCCACTTTTCAAGTTTTTTGAATAGACTATGAAATGCTTATTAACTACTTCTGCAAGGGACAGCAAGCTGTGCCAGGCCGGTTTGCAGACCATAGCTTCTGACCTCCCTACTTACTACATGTAGAAGGAGATCCATTTCCACCTGGAAGGTAAATTATCCTTTGCCTCTAAGATCGTCATGAAGTAGCTAGCTCATTAAATCCTGAAAATATGATGCTGAATTCTTCTTTTAGTAGATTCAATATTTAAGATGAAAAATCAACTTATCAAAGGCTTAAAACAAGATTGATGTAATTATGAATATATTGTGGGGAATTCAGAAGAATCACAGAAGGGTCTTTGAGCAAGTGCCTCAACTTCCCCTGAGCATCAGTTTTTGTATCTGTAAAATAGAGACAATCCTTTTTTATTAGCAGGTGGGGCTGAGAGTCTTGAATAAACTATTGTATATGAAATGTTTCGGATAGTTGCCTGGAGCACACCAAGCTGTCCGTGGCAGCCGCTGTCACTGTTGTTGGTAATACTGTCCTGTGTTGTCACAGTCATAGATTCCAAGGGCTTAAATCTCGGTTTCATAGTCCAGTGTGTTTTTGAAAAGACAGGAAATAATTTTCTGGGTGATTTCTTATTCTCTAGCTCAGTTTCTCAACCTTAAAAGCATTTAATTGATACAAAAAAATTTATGTCCCTTAAAAGTTACTGGAAATTTCAAAACAAGGTTGTGACTGCAAGGTTAGCACGTCTGGAACCCTCTTCTCCCTCAGAGGCTTCCCCTTGCCCCAACATCACTCTTGGGTACAAAGGACCCATTGATATCCAGTAATGCTTCTATCTCTGAGAAGGCCGTATATGTGCAGATTACTAAGCATATCATGCACAAGATAAACTTCACATTTGCCAAAACCAGTGGTTCTCAGCAGGGGCCTGTTTTCCAAGCAGCTGCCGTTTGGCAAAGTCTGGAGATACTCTTCGTTTGTCATAACTTGGGGGAGGAGAAAAAGGAAGAGGGAGATGATGCTGCTGGCATGTGGTGGGCAGCAG